TAAAATGCTATATATATATATAGCATTTTAGGTAAAAACACTAGCTTTGATTGTTTTGTTTCTGTACTCACCACTGGATGCTGAGTAGCCGTCAAGTAGAAATAGAAATATTACAAATGGCAACAGTCTCATTTCTTCCCTAGTCGACTTCACGTGACACTTCGAAGACAATCTGAAGTATACGTATAGTTTTACAGTACAACAATCAATGATAAACGTCTTACTCACTCCGTAGGTATATAATTATCGTGTTCCACTATCATGTTTTCACTGAATGTTCCTTTTAACTGAAAACTGATAACAGTAATTATTACTATTCAACGAAATAAACAAAGGACATCCCGATACTATGGCCAACCTGCGTGCCGCACGCGGCCGCAACAACAGCTGTTGTTGGCTGTTCCTGTGTTACCTCGTTTGAGCTTTTTGTGATTGCGGAATCGTCGTATTTGATACTCTCTAACCGGAAGTAGCCACTGTGCCTCTTGACCAATCTGTGTATTAGCGAATATTTCCATAGACAAAAGCAATGTGTTAGCTAGGAACGCATCGTCTTTCTTCGTAAGTGGCTTCTTGAATAGACACTGGGAGACCCGTAAATTTGGGCGTAAGTAGATCTGAGTTTCGGCGTTTGCTTAATGTCAACGTCCAATTTCACGACAATCTCGCTACGTCACTGAACGGATTGCCGGCATGTTCTTGATAATCTCTTTCGGACGATGTCGCCGTTACTGCCTGAGTACATCCGATCTATGGTCGGTACCTCTTTCTATGTGGATCTGAACCTCTATGCCACTGAGTGTCTGTCCGACTGTGTGAACGGGCGCAGCGTGTGAGTGCGCGAAATGGTTGGCGCGGGAATAACTGCGTGTTCGAGCGTGTGCATGATCCCTGATCCGTCAGATCCATCCACAATTTGAATTACGTGCTTTGCCACGCGATCCGACTGAGTATGCGCGGCAGCCGCGGGCCCTTTACCCCAGAAGGTACGTCGTACCTTGTTATACACCAACCGGCCGCCTGGCCGACCGGTCGCTCAATTGACTCAATCGGCTGCGTGTGGGCGGGTCCAACGAAAGGCCATCGCAATAGCCCCGCAGGCAGTCCACTGATGCCCCGCCTTCGTAAGCCGCTCACAACAGTCTCAGTCTCCGCATACAAGCAGTTCGAATTCTTACAATACTTCTCTTATGATAGAATGGTCCCCAGAAATCCGACACAGTATGATCCGACAAAAAAGATATTTTTACATTTATCCGCTAGTTGTCTGTGCCACGTAATATAGCAATATAATTTCATAAATGTTCATAGAACCAGCTCCCGAATGGGTAATTTTTTGCTTTGGCTGTCGTTAAAGACGCTTCATCGAAGTGACTGACTGGGGGAATAGTAAAATGCAGTGCTTGCTGCATAAAGCGAGATGAGCTGTCCGTGCTGACGTCTGTCTGTTCCATAGAGTAACAAGGAAGGCCTCTTTTTGACAGAGCACAATATGAGCAGAAACGCTTTTTTATTGTTCTAATTGAATTGTGCTGTTCTATATGAATTGTGCTACGCGACAGTTAGAATTCATGAATACTTGGGCTAGGATTATCTATTTAGCATCTCACTAATGGCCTAAGTTGAGCAACTACAATACGATACAGTTTTACGAAAAAGGTCGTGTTCAATTAATTACATATACGTATAACGGCAGAATGCGAGCCGTCTTTCCTAGCGTCCATACGTTCGTCTGCTATTCCTGGTAGCAAAAGAAAGCCAGTTCCTTTTAGAACAAAACAACAAATCTGCTATTTCTGTAATTCTGAGCAGAAACCGGCTATTATTTAAAGTCTCTCGCGCTGGCGTGACCGTCAATGAAATCGATCTCCAGATAAGTTGTCCAAAAAAGCTCTAACCGTTCAACTTTTTACTTCCACGCGCTGTCGGATGCTCGGGCTTGCAATTAGTTCAAAATTTAATTCTGCTAGCATTTTTTCTGATACACAGCGCCAATTCGACGAATTGATACCCCTAGCGCATGTGTAGTATCAAAAAAGTAGATGGTTATTTTGGAAACTCTACTATAAAATAGCTATAATCCGAAAACGGGGCGGTGGATAGTAATTACATTGAATAACAGCGACTGTCGAAGTGACACTTCTAGCGTAGGCGATCTTAACGAAGGAATTTGTGTCTGATGTGGTACAGCGGACCACTAAAGTGCAGACGGACTTTTCGTAGTTTATTATAAAGCCTAAAACAGAGGTTACGATATAATAGTGATGATCTGCTTACTTGTAGCCCTACGGCAACGTTGCCTTCGAGTGGCTAGAGCAACGACTAAGGATGGGTTGCTACATCTTTATCAGTATTGTTTAAGCTGGCCAAGAAAGCGCTGCAGGCCTGGACCTGGGAAACTTGCGGATGTTAGACGAGAGGAATAATTGTTGCTTGTGATCTGATATTCCAAGTGAAGGGTGCAGCGTTATCGATCGTAAACGCATCTCAGCAACAAAAGCTCTGTAGCAATGCACACTCTTGCCTGAGGGAAGACTCGTTTCGTGCGCATAACTTCGAAGAAAACGCCGCGAACAGGTAAAGTAACTACAGGTCACAACCCAATTATTAACCCATTCTATCCGATGTCGTTTCGAATGTACCCATTTTTAACAAAAGCGATTACGAATGTATCAGGTAACGAAATAGCCACTTCAAACGCGTACCGAACGGGTCTGTTTAATGTCTTTTTTTTATTAGAATATATCGATTCTAAACGGCCATCTTCCTTTAGATGCTGCAAATAGTCTTTATAAAACAACATATAAGAAAATTACTAAATCGTAAACATTGTCGAAATCAGCTACAAAATGAATGCCCTATCTACAACCTTGAGCCTAAGGCGCACCACTTCGCTAAACTCACGGTAACGCTTTTTCGCCAGCATAATATATTATACAGGTGGAATGTTACATCTTTTTTCATGGAAAAATCAGTAATAAAGTGGTGCGTTGCATCTTTGAATTGCAATACGCTATATACATTATAGAATGTTAATCTTAATTGGCCCCAGGTCCTCGTGGGCTAAAAAACGAGCAAAACAGACATCTCGCAGGTATCTGCATTTTGTACTGCCAAATAAGATAGCCATGGCCTTCATTTACGTTTCTAGTCTTGACCCGAATTGGGTCAAGATTCCCTAAAATCCTAAAAACCATTATTAATGAGAGCCTTTCTCAAAAGACAAGACGGTACGTTCTCCGCATCGATCTTTATGTGGGTACCCGCTTCTTCCTGTAATTTTCAGAATGGAAAATTATTTCAGATTCATTTAATATACTGGACTAGTATAATAAATATCCACAATCAACTCAGTTAACTAGTCCATGTGAGTTTTATTTAGGCTGTAACAATACTCTTAATCAATAGTCCATCTCACACAGTTTAAATTATATTTACCGTATATTTTTTATTTCAATTATAATATAAATATAATTAACTGTTGAGCTGTTGATTTCGTGGCTTACGTCGTCAGGTGCACACTTAATCATAGGTACAAGCATTAAAATGCATCATAATTAATAGCATTACAAGCATTAATCAACCATCCAAGCATCTCATGGTGCGAAGTATCAGGCTAATTTGTACCAGAGTTCTGAACGAAATAAAAAAAACAACAGTATGACAGTGCAATGATAGACTCAAACCTAGCATTTCTCATCTTTTCATACCTATAACGACCTATCTAGTAGCTAGTCTTCGTTCTGCTTGTCTACCTAAACTGGTCCTTCCCAAATCTAGTCACTACCTAGAGCAACTAACTACAATGAGTCGCACAGGGCAAATTATGTTGGCAACAATAGTTCTCTTCACTTGGGATCATGTTATGGACAATACGTTGTACGTTATATGTATGTGCATAAATTGTCTTCCTTCTGGTTGCGATGGTGTCTATCTGCCAAAGGTATTATCGAATCTACGTCTCTGGTTGTCAGCTGAAGAATATAAGCTGTTGCCATGGTAACTTTTAGTAACTGGAAAGTACTTGTACATATGTTGGGACAGAAATGGTACGAGTTACAGCCCTTTGGGTTCTGGTTTGGGTTGCAGACAATTCACGACGATGCATGGTACGTTTTGCCAAAATAGTTGTCCATCAAACCTCTTTTCGCGGGTTTGCCATTACCGGACGTAGTGATGAAGATGCTTCTGATAGGATAGAGGGCAAAATAAGAAGAATAAAGAAGGCTGTTTGGCATATTAAGGTGGAATCTGTCCAAAGATCCTAGTTCTGAATCGAAATCACAATTCTTACATAATTGAGAGAAGTTATTCTCGCATCATCGCATATCCCAACGAAAATACAATTCCAGCTCTGACTATGACAATTTGATCAAGCAGCGACTTTTTGGTATCTCTTTGCTGTCGCCTATACATGTGTATAAAAAAAAACACAGTAACCTTTTAGAAGACCCTTACAACAGTCCATTGTTTGTCCTAAGAGGCAACGCAATCAGTTGCATGGGCTATGGGACTTGCCTGTACCACAATTGCTCCTATCTGTTTTTCGCGATATGGGTAATTTCTTGGAGCTGATGAATGATGATGTCGTTGATCGGCTTTGTTACTTTAACGAGTTGTGCTTCTATGTCTATTTGGCCTTTTTTTGACCAAACTTAATGTCCTTCCATTTACTCAAGTCCATGCTGGGCATGCGGTCGGAGGTGCATCCGTATCTGCAACATTGAATACGTAACGAGTTCTTGTTAAAATCTGTCGAAAGACCTCAAATTAAGTGCGTACTTCAATTGTGATAAGAGTTTCTATAATATAATATTGGTATATATAATCGGTGCGTGTCTGCATGCTGTGAGAGCAGGAGAGCGTCATCGCACCTTCTTCAAAGATTCTGCCGGAGCTCTGCAAACTTTATAAATTGCTAGCGGCACCACACGGCGTACTTACCGGGGATTTCCGTCAGAGGTCGCTTTTTCGAACACATGCAATTGCATATCGTGCATATCGTCCGAGTTATCGCAGATAAGGCGTGCCAACGAGAACTTACGAATTTCCGCCAGCTGGTCAAGGGTGAACGAAGAGGGCCAGCCGTGGTTCTCGAACCTGTTGGGACAATTTCATTTGAAAGAATCAGATTTATACTTATTGTTATTGTGAAAATGATCACGTGTCTAACTATGCACTATATTAAAGTATGGCTATTTAAGTTTGAAACGTGGTAAATTATTGGTACTCAATAGATAATGTTATCGAAAGAAGTTTATTCAATCTTGTACTTATCACGACAAATGCAAAGCTGAATAAAAACGTAATAATATGTGGCAAAATAAATATATGGGTTATTAACTAGTTATTCTCTCCTAAATTTGATCTATTTTAAGCATAACTGGGTTGTTTATGATTCAAGGCACAACTACCCGAATTGAATCAATCTGTTAAGCTTGAATTTTTACTTTTTATATATCAATGATATGCGCCTTGGGCATTAAATGGTGCTCAAAATCAATGTCATAAAATAGAGCTGGCCAGAAGAAATTAGGTCAGGCCTTTTTTTTCTTTTTTAGATCATCTTTTTTTCATTTTTAGATCATTTTTTTTTTTTTTTTTAGATGACAGTAGTCCGAATCGCTATGTTCATCAATATTTACTATTTTCTCTAACAAGTATCTATTTAAAGTAGATTTTTGTTTTTCTTTCCACTCTGGATGCACTCAAATCGAAATAAGGCCGGATACGGATAGTAAGAGAACAGAAAAACGTGTTTGTACCAGAGATCTCTCGCACTAGCGGTCATTCAAGATCTTCCCGATGCATCGGTTTCAGTCTGAATGCTTCATGGTAACAAAAACCACTTCTATCGACTGAGTCGTCTTAGTTTTATGTTGCACATAAAATTGAGGCAATAAAATTGGACGCCAATCGTATAATGGTAGCATAAGTAGCAAACAGGCAAAAAACGACTTATCCGTATAGCGTATAGCCCTCCCGACAAAATGAAGCTACCATATTATTCTGAAGTTATGTTTTTTTTTATTTTTAAAGCAGTTCGTGTGGTAACAGTTTGTGGGATAATTTATTGCGCATGAGCACTTGGGCTCTGAAGCTATCTTAAGGAGCGGAACGGCTACCGGAGCAGGGAATTACTCACCAGAAACGGTCGCCGCGACGAAGATTCGCAAACTGTTCCCCGATGAGGCAACTGAATGTAGGACCCAAAAGTCCGCCAGGTACAGGGAACTCACCAACGCCGGCAGACCACAGGTCCAAATCATCGGGATGCCTAGCAACGACAATGAAATATTAAGAAATTCATTGGATATTGGTAGATATCTGCAAAAAGTAAAATGGGCCAATGTGAAATAACATAATTGTATATAGTACGGCACTGAGCGGGACAAAGATTATGTTTATTATTTTTGTACATCTTCCCGAGTAACATATTTGATATGTTTATAATGAAATGTTACGTTTCACACCTTCCGATCTACACGTGAGAATTCGATCAAATGCGCGTTGTTCGGGACGCCCAAAAAGTGTTCTGTCGTTTCTGCAGACCATTTGCAAGACTGATGAGTTTATAGCTAACTTAATGTCATGCAAATTATTATCTAATCAAATAAACGATCGTAAAAACCTAAAATAACCGCTGTGTTGAACGTTTTTTACTTACACGTACGTTAATAGCGACTTTTCCTTTAAAGGCGTAGCACAATAAGCTGCGTTCGACGCGCAACGATCAAAGGAACTAAATCATCACTACTACTCACTTGTAGATTTGGGAGAAACGATAAATCGTCTTGTTAGACATATAGCCAACAAGGTTCCAGAAGCTTTTAGAACGTGGAAGACCGCAGTATTCGCGGAAATCATTGTAGCCTGGAACGCCAGTTTCACGACCTCGTTGAAGATTCAAGGCGACTAAATCCATCCCAAAGCCATCTCCATGTTTCTCGAACAGATGATTTGTAACCTGCAACCGAAATTAGTATCGATGCTCTGTGCCAGGCAATTGGTTTCACCCCAATATATATTTCGTTTTCGCATACAGATACATTTTGCAATAGCCGGCAGCTAAGTGCACAGGTGCCAAATCGATTTACCTCAGTGGTCACCTCGTGATCTACACGATTGGCCTGCTGATTCACCATACCCAAGATGAAGGTATCGATCACCCCGGGTTTGTATAAGTCATAGGGCTGACGGAGTAGGCGCGAAAGACGAATCGATTCTGAAAGTAATTGCGTCTTATGGTTTACGGTAGGCTGAATAGATTGTACTGGTCAGTAATTGAAGCCCTTTCTGGTTAGGTACCTAGTATGTTACTATCGTCATGCGTACACTTCATCATACTTCAAACAGACCAAAAAGGACTCACCAATCTTCTCATGGAATTTATTATAGCGATCTGTTACATCGGGAAGCAACGTGTGTCCAAATCGAAATGCAGCAGATTGGAACTCCTGTCTGATAGCCGCGTTGATCTGAATACACAAATGCGACATACGCATGTCGTGAAAACAGACGTGGGCTGTTGAGTTTGTTTGGAAATGAAATACTAAATAGACATAGAATCTGATACGCCATGCATATGCGCCCGAATTGTTTTGTTTATTTGTTCGTACCTTAGGATCATAGCCGTGATAATATCCGTCCTTGGCTGGCTCAAGGCCATACTTGCGAATGGCATCAGGTCCAATAACCATAGGCAACCATTCGTTAATAACGATGTGTTGTACCTGCGCGGTAACAAGGTGACGAGTCTCCTGGAACAGAGTCTCATCGTCCCAGTGTGGGTTGATTTTTTGCAAGATTCCGGCAACCTTATTGTGTTCACGCATCCAGAGCGTGTGCATGACTGCCAGGGCCAATTGCTCGTTAACTCGCTCGTCCCCTGCGTCAAAGCAGTAGAGGTTACGTGGGCGTGACATACAGCCGACGTCTGCTTCGACAGTTTTCATTGGCAACAAGTCTTTCAGCCCTAGATCCTTGTACAGGTTAGTGGATTTTAGGAGTCCGTTTTGGTACGTTCGGAGACGGGAGCCCACCTCCGAAGTAGAACCGTACAGAAAGCCGGCGTCAATGAACGCTGAAATTGTGTTGGAGGCCGACCGTGGACCAAGAGTACAACCAGGACGAAGTGAAGCCAGTAGACGCGCAAATTCAAGACATTTGCGATTGAAGAACTTGTAGAAAGGATCGTCATCAGGAATTTTGATTGGCATACAGTTTGGATGTCGTTTATCCAGAGGCGTACTGAAATAACCCATATGTGGTGATACATATCACCGGTGTTGTTTTGCCACTTACAAGACCATCTTTCTGATTACTTTAGCTCTATACCATGATAATCATAAGACCTATGAGGGATTGCGCAGCTCCGCCTCGACTCGTTAACTTCATATAAAAAAATCGTATGCATGTTGCGCATAGCTCTCTTAACTAAAATACTTACGGGCAACAGACGATATCTTGTCTCTCGTGATCGAGGGTCGGAGCGGCCAGGGTCAGATCGTGATCTAGCAACTGACCGAAGGCGACAAGAATGTTTCGAACGCGTTTGTCTTTCTCCGAAACGTCGTGGTGGATAACGAACGAGACCATTCGAGGGTTGGGAAGTTCGCTTCCATCGCGAGCCCGACGCGGCTCCGAGATGCCATCGGCGTACGCAGGTGGCATGAAACGGACCATGGCCGAACGCGTAGAACCCCATGACGGATTTTCCAAGTTGTTACACTGTCCGGACAGCGTTCTGAAGTCGATTGTTTCTCTTAGTTGCTATTGCTTGACTTATTTGTATCGCTATAAAAGGTGTTTTCACAAAATGACAATTATTTGCCGATGCCGTCTGAGGGAGCGCTGATAAGAGGTGGCATTATTAAGTGACCGTCTGCATCCAACATCACATTCACGTTGTGAACAACGCTTCGCATTGGTTGCTATAGTAACTGACCTGTAGCGAGATACCTCACACTTAATAGGCTTGAGGAACGTAGGGCAGATATCATTAATTATCGTGCGGGATGTGTCAATTTTGGGGAGGCCAAACACGATCTCCTGATACGAAAGGCGGAACCGCTTTGCCAAGATCTTGGTGGCTTCCAACACTACACAGACAAATGATGATAAAAAAACATATAGGCGAAACTTCTCACGAAAATGATCATTGCTGAGCACAAAGTCAGCACCGCTAGCGACCACCATTCAGGCTTTTGTTCATATTCTTTTTGGTTACATTATACTTTTTAAAGGAGCTACTATGCAACACTGACTGATTCTTTATTTCAACGTCCTCGTGCGCACAGATGTACATACCGATTTCAGCTGGAATTGTGACGTGCTCAGGGGTGGGGGTATCTGATGTCAACTCGTAAATTTCTGGAGGAACATGGCCCCCCGAAAATTTGTCCTTTGCCTCAGCCACTGCGTCGTTGACGTCATCGTACGTAATGCACTTCTGTACCCCAACACCTCTGTGAGCATGCGCGTGTACAGGCGAAAGCATGTATTGTTAATAGTTTCATTGCTTCTTGTTTTTATGTATTACCTTATCTCACACTGGTACACAATAAGGGACATTATAACGCATATCGCATATGATCATAACGACTGCTTTCAAGATATGGTTAGATAGAACGGATCCGATCAGTGGATTGTTATTGAGGTTTTCTCGATACATATTGGCTATGGTGACGTTGCTTTTCGATTAAATTTCTATACATGTGTGGATAAATCAATAGGCTTGCAGCGGTCGACTGCTACGAAAAACAGATCCTGAAAAAGAGACGAATCGAGCAGCAGGCGTCATAAATACCGTTGACTTTCCGTGGACAGGTAGCTCTCAACGTCTGCCTATTTCATTCACGAAAGATTTACGCGCGATGCTATACTTTACTGCATTACGTCGGCTGTGTTATGAACCGCTCTAATAATAATAATTATCTATTATAATTGGACATCTGAAATTATTTAATACAATTCCGCTTCAAATAAAAATCTACTGAAGCATTTTCTGAATACAGCTGGCTAATTCGAACGTTGGCTTTTACCGAAACGACGATTCTTCATAATACAAACCAGTTCGAACGTAACTGTTAGTCTAATTTACAAAAACGGTACGAAATGTGACTTCCGAGGCATAATTCAGAAAATTTACGCGACTGTGACGTTCAAATGTGCGTTAATTACATACAAGTTTTCTGAGACTCCATATTGGCACTTACACATCTGTGATGGCTTTTGCGGATATGATAAGCGCGCAGTCATCAGGTAACGCATAGCCGCCAGCTATAGCCAGGGAAGCCGTCGCTAATAAACTGAAATAGAATTGATGCCACAGCAACCTGTACGTATGAGGGAAGTCAGAAAGCAAACCTATGAATTTATAAATTTGTAAATAAAAATAATTACGAAACATGCTTAAAATCTTATCTGCGCTTATCCAATAATAACACAAAAAAAATCATAGCTTTGAATACTTCACGCGCGACGTGTGCTTCAATTTATGCGCCTGTTAGCCGAAGGGCATTACATCAACTACTACGCCATTAATTTTAGCATGGATGAAACAGCTTAATCTACGTTAAATATATTACGACACAACAAGTTGAGTTCAAGAAGTTGAAGTTTTTCGTTCAAACGCATTAGTGCACCAAAAGTTCCCTTAGACCAATATTACTATACTGTGTTATTATTAGTTTGATTAATTTTTAACCTTTTATCCCCGTTAGTACTCAGGATATTGTACATTGTTCAGCTTTATTGAAATATATCATATATCATTGATATTGAAAAATACCATATATCATTGATAAGAAAGAAACTAATTTATTTGTGTAAATATATAGTATATGCTGATGAGTATTATGAGAAACTGTGGTCGAACAAGAGCCTTTGCGTTTTTGCCCGGCAAGGAAACGTTAGTCTTAGAACGTATCACTCTCAAACTTTTGCAATTGTTATGCAGAGACGCATCGCAAGAATCAGGCGTTCCGTCAATTTCGTGTTACTCGACGTTTTTCGTTGATCGAAATTTCGGAAGATGGCTCAGCCAGGTATTTTTTTTTGGCATTTTATCTAACTTTTACTGACCGATAAAGAAGAAATACATCCAGCTGGTTTCTCTACCGAAACTCGAAGCTTACATTTTATAAAAACCATTGTATTTTGAGCTTTGTTAAATAGGATGCCGCCGCTGTTCGTTTTAGAGGGAAATTGACAGAAATAAATGGTCTCAGTGTATATCCAGTTTTCTTTTCATATATGTGAAGTAAAAGGAAGGCTTCACATTACTATTGTCGTTGTTGTTGCTAGTGTTATGGTTATTGACGACAACAACAAATTTAGTCTCTTTGAAAAAAATTCAATGCATTGACTTTTTCATAACACATTATTCAGACAACATAATGTCGTCTAGATATATACCGGATTACCGATAACTTCGATTGGGTTAGAATTTGCCATGGATAATTACTTGTAAACAGAATCGTGCTTGCTTACGATAGTCGTATACAAGCTTCAGTGCAGTGAGGTTGGCTCTAGAGAACGCTCCGTACATCGTCAGTTTTTGCTCGTTTCTCGAGCTAAACACGACCTGCCGATGTACCAGTGTACTTGGACAATTAGAAGTCCCGTATGCTGCGTAATAAAACGAACTTTCATCAATACGCGGTGATCAAGTCGCCATATTTAACTCGGCTGTAAATGATTATTAATATATCTTGTCTCCTCCAGCGTTACTCACAGGAATCTTCACACGAAGTCACACGTGGCCTACCAATCTCTCGCCGCTAAGCACGTATACCATTACTTGATACGGCTACATAAGACGACAATATAAGTGTCGTAGACTGACATTTCCTCGAATCAATTGTAGGGAGGCCACATAATGTACGGTGTACATTATGTGTGTGTACGGAAATCATACTAGTATCATCTTCTTTTTGTGGCGCCAGCTGTTTTCAGCTCTTATCCATTAAAATAGCGCGCAGAAACAATGACACATGTATTAAAAAAAAAGTACTCACGAGCTATTTTTAATCACCCGGCAGTGCGCGTTGTCCGATTTTGGTTTTGCTGACATCTTGAACTGTGAGGGAACAAAACAGACGATGCGAAGCTACCTTTCCTTGTTGGCTTTTCTATTGACTTGGGGCCAAAACAAAGAGCCAGTCGTTCACTTATTTTATTCCGAACGAAGATTTACGTATAGATGTACCTTGCTGGTCAAACTTATGACGCATTTGTACAATATTGTGATCTTCAAGCATTCAAGTCGATAATACGAGGAACGTCCATTGAGATAGCTTAGAGTGAAATATGTTCTAGCAAAATGAATATCCCAATTAAAAAAAGGTATTTTACGTTTAGTAAAGTGTGTTTCTGGGATCGGATACGTACTGTTTACATAAACGAGCAACATGTCTCTTTTGCAGGACATTATTTTGCACTCCCTGCACTATATGTATCTGCCAGTCTATTCAACGTACCTAAACAACAGGTGTCTATTTTGTTGTATGCAAACGTGTAAATGAATTTAAACTGTATCAGCCATAACAAAGGGCTCACTATACCTGTGTATCGTGTTTTATCTCTGGTTCTTTTGCGAGAACAATAAATGACTTTCAACTCTACGACGGGTGGGCCCAAATGATAAGAAAACGGGAGTCTTTGGCCAAGAAAACATTGGCGTCAGGCCTCCACTTTCAGTGATCCCCAACGATTAGTAGTTATATTTCGCTTTGGCCGCTAGCTAGCGAATTCTGCATTTCGTCTACCGCCAATATTCATCACCGTTGTCAGGAGTTTTAATGACGAAAATATTGTGGAAGTACTATGCACATATGCGTACGTTTAGATGGACGCACGTAATCGGGCCAATCTTGAAGCTGTATTCCATTTGAACACGGCAAAGAAGCCGACAAAGCCCTTTTGTGCGTCGTAGCGATATTCTAGAAGCTTTTTTTTAAACTTCTTTTCTTCTTATCCGTTTTTGTCCTCCGACGATCCAGCATGACCTTGCCTCGTACATTCATAACGCAATTTGATATAGATTGGCTACAGATATACTCGTCTATATGTGTATAGTAATATATTTTTCGCAGGAACTAAGCCATTGGGCATCCACATATAATATCTAACTAAAGTCTAGAATTTGCCTTGACACATGGCCTGCTAGGTTTGAAGAGCGACTTTATGTAGCGTATAATAACATATAAACTAGCGATTATCAGCTGTAGTAAGTTCTAGGCGGCTTTTTTGTTCACACATTTTCTTCACCTGGATCTTCAGTCACAATAATAGTGATAAATTAAATCGTAAATACAATAATGAACAAATAATAACAAAATAATGAATATATATTGCATGATCCTGGGATCTGTACGGGCCAAGGTAAGGCTGAACTATATTAGTCAATATTATTTCAGGCAAAATGAAGGGTCAGCCATTGTTTATTGCCGGGAGAAAATTAAATGATTAAATTGCGTCAAAGCGCAACCCACCGTAGTGGGTATGCGCCCCCGCATAGTGCGAAGACGATAATTGACCAAATGCAAGTATATTGTATTCATTGTTTCTAGCTTGCCTATACGCTGTGTCCTGTTAATTAATCAGTAGTAGATATTATAAATCGATTTAAAACAGCCCTCTCCGGAACTTCTCATCACTGTTGCTCATGCAGAAACAACCGAGATAAGGAACTGTGGTCGTTAAATACTGCTAGGCTTCTATCGGTGCGTACAAACAAAAAAAAGATTGATACATACAGAGAGTATGCGAGAAGACATGCGAGGAAGCAGTCGCCACTCTTGACGATAAAGTCTTTTTCCGTAAGACTCGTGAATTGGGGATGCGTAAGATTACGCTGCAACGACAACTAGGAATTGTGCGAAAAGCTGCATACGTTGCTACGTAAATTCATTCGCGTCGTAGACTGAACGCACCTTAAAGAAGTTAATATTAACCACATTATATCCAACATGCGAGGACCAAGTTGTACTATAACAAAGGCAAGGCCAATTTACGAACCATTGAACGTAAACGTATCATACACTTGGGTTAGGGGGCAGGAAAGGATTTGGTTGGCTGTTTTCTCAGGACACCTCGATAAGACTTCCTTGCGGCAAACTGAAAAGATGCTATATTAAAGGAGCGGCCCATTCTCCTTAGAAATTTAAAAATTTTGATGGAACAAGAAGTTCACTGCTTCAAAGATCGTCTTTCGTTTCTTCTTTTCGTTTCGAGAATCTTGTTCTGACGGTATTTGAAAAGATTGTGGCCAAAGAAATCAAGCTATTTACTCAAATGTAGGATTCTTATAACAATGCATGCCAGTTTTGTTTATTATAGCTAATCACAATAAATAAAAAAGTGGGCCACTATTTAAGCCGCTGATGCTCCTCTGCGAAAAGAAAACTAGTTAGAACGATTGGAACGGCTAGATATCGCTCTTATAAACCTGCCTAGACATTTCCCAAAGACATAATTGTTTTTGAAAAAGAAACACATATTGATGTGCACATAGGTAGCATATATATAGTTGGATAGCATACTTGTATGTAGTTGATTCTGAAACTTATTCGACAACGGAGCTAGTCGTACTTTTCTGTGAGAATAGCGGACGATTTAGAAATCCTGCCTTTTACTCATTGCGATAAGGTGATCGGTAAAAAGATTTGCCCCCAACACAGCCTCCATTTCTAACAGTGAACGGCTGTCCTGCTGGAATGACGTCCCGTAGTGGTCCGACGCCCCCTGCTGATTATCAGCCTATGCCACCGAAGGAAAAAGTCATCTTCTGTGAATACGTTTTCGTTTATCGTAAAGGCCCTTATCTTTTAAAACCTTCTAATGGTATTTGCCATCGTAAATGGCTCCTCATGTGCACTTTTTGCTTATGAGGCACTTCGTTATAGACTGTGATCCTTCTACTTTCTGCAAAGGTACCGTAACAAAGATCTATCGAGCTGTCCGAAGTCAAGGTTTGAATGACTAAAAGGCTGCCGTAGGGTAATAACTTGTTGGAGCGGTAAAAACGTCGTGCTCCAGCTTGATCGCACTTGTTATGTTTTTCCCGCTGATTTTCGTGCCTAGCCACGATTAGCATCGTTTCTCTGAGGAAGGACAAATGCTACGATCAAATGCCTAAAACAGTTTCTAAATAGTTGTTTTGCGATAAGAATCGGTTAGTTTTGACTCCCGACGAGTGCACCTATTTCTTATACTTATGTTCCTTGAATTGCCGTCGGAAACACAAAACACAGGGTAATTGTGTTTCAGCTCTTAAACGCGAAACCGAATACTGCCACAGGGACCCCGTGGTTTTGTTGTCCCATTCGAACGG